AATAAATAATAGTCAAAATCAAAAAAAACTAATTATCTTGTTTTTATATTTAATTTATCTATTTTTAATTTAATATGTACAAATTCTTTGAATAATTCGAGTTTTTTTTTAAAAAAAATGAAAATATAAATGGATCTTTATATCATGTGATCTACTTTTTAATAAAAATATACGCATTGACATAGCGTCGTTTTGATTATTTTTATTTCTTCAATTGGAGCAGTTAATAATAATTGGTTTATAAGTATTTTCTTGTTTTAAACGCAAGTGTTCACCAGCAGTAATTCGTTTTCTCTCTTTACTCTCTTTACTCTCATCTAATCCTTCCCCTTCCCTTTCTCTTCCGATGATGAATTCACTAGGAATAGGATCTAAACCAACATCTCTACCAGCATGGCAAAAATAAGCAATACTATATCTATGCAAATTCATATTTTCTTTATTAAATATAACACGATGTTTAGTTGACTTAAATAAACCTTTTGTCCAAAATTCCATTAAATCTCCGATATTAATTAAAATTGCATTAGGAACAACAGGGACTTGTATCCATTTTTTTGTATATGGATGCTGAATTTCTAATCCTCCTATTTCTTTTTGAAATAATAATGTTATGGATCCGTAATCTGTATGGCTATTAAGAGAAAAATTTTTTCAAAAATAAAATAAATATTACATAATAAAAGATATAGATTATTCAAATTACCTTCCCGCTCGAATATCTTGATTATAATTAATGTCTTCCGACACTTTACCTTCTTCAATCGTAATAGGAGGATAATGTAATATTCTAAAATTATCACCAGATTTCATTCCATACCCATGTCTTTTAGAAAACCAATTTTTTCCTTCTCCTTCATTATCTTCAATCTTTAATGAGATTGCCAATGATTGTAATACTTTCATACATAAATCATGACAAGCCTATAAAAAAATAATTTTTTCGTGAGTTAGTAAAAATTTGTATTTGATTCGTAAAAGACAATTAGATAATTACTTTTTCAAATGATTCGATAAATTTACTTTTCTCTTCGAAATATTTTGGTAGTTCTTGTGAAATGGGTTTTCCATTTTGAAATTTTCCAAAATTAAAACATCTTATAATTAAAGAAAGAATATATATATTTTACTTTTAAATTGCCAAGTAAATAATAATGGATATATATAATTTCAGTTACTCTTTATAATCTCCAATTTTTTGATGAGGAGGATCAAGTACTTCTTGCTTTAAATCAACAAAACCAAAATATTCGTCATTCATAATATATTTTAATTTTTCCTCTCTGGATATTCCAATGAAAAATTC